CCCCTTTTTCGCCTTCTCTTCTCCAGGCTGACCCCCCCCAACTCTCCCAGCCTGTCCTCCCAGCAGAGGGGCTCCAGCCCTCTGATCATCTTTGTGGCCTCCTCTGACCCCACTCCAACAGGTCCATGTCTTTCCTATGTTGGGGGCTCCAGAGCTGGACACAGTATTCCAGATGGGTCTCCCCAGAGCAGATGACTTCATGAGGTTGGCTTGGGCCCGCCTGTCCAGGTCCCTCTGGATGGTATCTCTCCCCTCTACCGTGTCTGCCTCACCACACAGCTTGGTATCATCAGCAAACTTGCTTAGGGTGCACTCAATCCCACTGTCCGTGTCACCAACAGTAACGTTGAACAACCCCGGTCCCAGTACTGACCCCTGAGGAACACCACTTGTAACCGATCTCCACTTGGACATTGAGCCGTTAGCCACAACTCTTTCAGTGTGACTGTCCAGCAAGATAGAGAAGCTTACAGACATGCTGCAAGTAGGAAATCATCACCACCAACCTTCACCCTGATAAAGCATCACTGTACCACACGAGTATCTGGTTTATGTCTCTAATATAGACCTGGTAACACCACATGCTCGCTTACTCCTGGCTCTAAACCCCTCCTTGGCGCTCAGGATTTACTTTTCATCCTTTCTGGGGTGGGGAACAGGTCAAATTTCCCCAAGTCTGCCTTGCTGCAGCTCCCCAGTCTCTCTGTCCCAGAGCACAGAGCCTCTCCACGAGCCATTCACGCCACCCAGACTGCCACCCCAGAGGTGACGCCTGCCCGGCCCCCAGCCCTTGCTCTCAGACGCTCCATCTCCCAGAAATAAGAGGTCACTTCTCCGTCACGTGGAACAAACCGCTTCCCCGCTGCTGCCAAACCCCACGCAGCTGAAGGATGCGTTCAGCAGCGCATTTCCATCGGGACTCAGCCCTCCTTCTCCAAGTTCCCCACGGGATTTACGCAGGAAAAGTAACACCCATGGGGCTCCCGAAGCCCCACACGCACTGTCCCAAGGAGCTGACAGCAGTGGGGGGGTGAGAAGGGGGTACGCTCTACTGTCCTTCATCTGAGGCTCCCCAGCAGCAGGGCCACGGTGGATATATGCATTTCTGATGTGTCTTCTCACTGCTCACGTTGTTACCTCTCCCCTCCGGTGGCTGACAGAGCACCGCTGTCAGATTTTTGCCTTGCCCTGTTTTTCACTGTCGGCATTTTCCATTTCTTCCTTGTTATAAAAACAACAAAGCTAAAAACCCATCAAATATAAGACAGAATTGGTTTGGGTTGGGGTTTTTTTTGTTGTTTTTTGGGGTTTTTTTTTCCCCAGTCAGTAACAAGGCTGGATGTGGCTCGCAGGATCCCTGCGGCGCAGCCTGCCAGGGGACGTGGAAGGAGAGAGGGGCAGAGGCGCCAGGAATTATTAAATGCTATCGAAAGACCCACTCGAGAAGAGAAAGGGTCCTAGTTTGTTCAAAACAAACCGGTAGAGAAAACCCGGGATGGAAAGGAAAGAGTCGTTTTCTACCCGTTGAGCTCAACAAACCCTTTCCCCAAAGAATCTACCGGCAATTCATTACGCTGGATTTGTAGCCAAGAAGTTCCCGCTCTCCAGAGATGTCAGATCAACACATGGAGGGGGTTTGACATCTGCCACGGAGATGCAGAGCTCCCTGCTGATCCATCCCGGCACGTGGACCGCTCCGCATGCGTTAGCTCTATCCCAGGGAGGGAACATGTCTCGCACGAAGGGGACACAGAGGTGATGCGGGAGCAGCGACGCTCAAGGTAAATGACAAGGTGAGGGTCCTTAATAAAGGATGAAAACTCCAGAGAACAGCTAAGTTTGGGGACGAGCCTTTGGCACAGGTCTCTAAGAAAATCCTTGTATATCCTCTGGATTTAATGTCTTCCTTTTGATGGGAATCTCAAACAAAGCTGAGGAGCTGGATAGTGCCCTTAGAAAGGGGGACAAATCAGTCTTTCAAGATGAAGCCTTAATAAGAAATATGATGAAGTGTTTGAATTTAGCTCCGTATCTACTATTCTCCTGCTGGGCAATTCAGGAGATCCATTCCAACGCTGCAGAAAACATCATTTTGGTGCAAAGGCTTAACTCAACTTTGAGCTATGAAAGGTCCAAGGGGTGAGAAGTGCCTGTTCTCAGTCTGTCTCTAACCATGGAGATCTAGAAAAAGAGTAACCATGAGAAATTTATGGCTCTGCAGTGCCAGAGAGTTGGTGGGAGTTGGGCACGTCCAACCACACAGCAAAGGCTGGACCGTGTTGCTGGCTGGTAGGAGTGCTCTGCTCAAAGCAGCAGCAGTGACTAAAGAGGAAGGAGGAAGAAGTGGGTTGAACAATTAGAGAGAAGAAAGAAAAAAAAGATCTAAGTGCCCAGAGTCTTGTCCAGGCAGAGAAACAACATTTTTCTCTCCTGGCCAAAATAAACATGTGTGTCTGATTGATGCTGGGAGTCTCTGACGACGGGCTCCAGCAAGGTTAGATGTATGGATGGTTAAATTCTATCGATCTCACCTTCATGAGACCTGATGTTTGATTCCCTTGATGCCAGACTGAGTTAGTTTGATCCGATAATTTAGAATACCAACAGTGCTTAATGCGGACCAGAAATAATATCTGACATGCTGCCCTTCTGCCGGGCTCTTAATGAGCAATTTGAGGTGTTAATAGCTCAGAGACCGTCTCCATTTCCAAGCTCTGCCACAGAGGATCACATGGTGTCTGCTGTGGGACCCGGAGAGAGTACATTACTGCTTAATTAACATGCAGAGCAGAAAAGGGAGCTGTCATAACGTCCACAGCGCTAACGAGCCAGCAAAGGGGCTGTGCCAACCCCTTTGGAGCCAAACGCTCAGGACCCTCCGCGACTACCGACTGCGCAGAGTTGGGTGACTCAGCACGCGCTGGACGAAGGAGCACCTTGCAGGCTCAGGTCCAGCAAAGCCAATTTAGGTGGAGACGGGGTAATTACAAGCTGAAAACTGATTCAGCATTCACATTTTCCAAAAGCCTAAATTGGTTCTAAAAATAAATAAATAAATAAATAAAAATAAGAGTAAAGATAAACAGGCAACCGGCCAACAAGTGGCCCCAGAGGAAATTAATTCCACACAGGCTGCGCTGTAATGTGCCTGTTCCTCTGTTATTATAAAATATATGTATTGTTCTATCATCAAAATTAGATTTTCCCTTTAGCTGGTAATTAAACCCTAATCTAATTTACCAGGAGATGACATGGTCCCTCCAAGCAGAGCTTTCAGCCCCGCTCCCCTTTCCCTGCCCACCTCCCTCCCTCTGCTTTTGCAGACTCTTCCCCTGGGTTTTAGGGGCTGTTCTCGGAGGTGCCGTGCATCAAGTAGGACCACACGAAAGACCTTCTGTTACTTGGTAAGACCCAGCTGTGAACGGGCAACCCCAGCGCGCAGGTCTTCCCTCCCCCAAGCCCTCCTCCCAGCAACAGCTAATTTCCAGCTCCCAATAAGTCGTCTCCTCTGAGCCAGACCCCAATTCCCTAAACAAAACTGTTTATTGATGATTTCTGTTATTTGTAATAGCAGCGCTTCCGTGCACGCTGGTTCCCTTTGCTCGGTTTCCTAAGGCATTATGGAAAAACCATTCGCTGCTGTAATTAAAACTGCCCAGGGTAGACTTTTGTACTACGCGGAGAGGCCGCAGCGGGAAGTACGGCGATAAATGCGTTTACAGATGTGCCCCAGCACCGCTGCGAGATGGCTTTTGGGCTTGGAAACCACGGGCCGGCGCTCGGATGGCCGTGCTCCCCAGGGATGCTCAGATAAGTGCTCCCACCAACATCTACAGCTGTACCCAAAGCCACAGCAGAACCTGCCGTTTTGCTGTAAAACACTAAATAGCTGTTTCGTGAACGTGACGTGTGGTTTTAACAGATGGAAACTCCCTTCCCCAAGGTAGTGTTTGCCCCAGGCCACCACGGTCTGAGAAAGCAGCTTTCCACACCAGCTCTCCTTCCCAGGGGAACCGGTACGGGGGCTATAGCGAAGCGGCGGCAAGAGACTTGGGACAGCAGCACGTCATGCTGGTGGCAGTGCTTGTGTAGGTTCTTGGGATGAAATGACAACAAACAGGGTCGGCAGGGAAGAAAAAGAGGTCATGTTATACACCTGCTTGTCCCAGTGGCTAAACGCGGGGTTTGTAGCTCCAGCAATAAAGCAGGACTCCAGGTTATGGGCTAAGCAAGAAGCGTTGGTAGCGTCTTACTGCCCCAGCTTCCCTGGAGAACGTTGTCTCCTTCCCAGCATCGAATTGGTGGAGATCACCTATTGCCTGAACACCTACCCTAACGGCAGCTGCTGGGTGGTATTTCCACCAGGAAGAGTTGCAAGCAGTTTGTCAGATCCCGGGCAAACAGCCTTGGTCTTTGCAGAGCACAAACAGGACACTGGGAAGGAGGAAAGCTTCGAGGAGAGGGTAAAGGAGAACATACCTCATCTGGCTTACGTGACCGTCTGTCAGGAACGCCCAGTGGTACTGGACAAGAAGCGGGCTGCAGTTGGTCATCTTGACGTAACGCACATCTTCAGTGTCATTCAAGATGCAACCAAAGTCCACAGCCATGGTCTGGATATGGAGATTTGGAAAGTAGACTTCTCCCCGAACGGTGACCTGCTCCTCATGAGGATGCTCCAGAAATTGTATCTTCAGAGCCTTCTCTACTACCCGGATACTCAAATCCTCTTCATAAGCAGGGTTAAATCTGATGGAGAGATGAAGTTCCTCCCCTATCTCCAGCTTCACAGGCTGAAAGAAGATGTATTCATCTTAATTAATCAATCTTAATTAATCTTAATTAAGAAGTATTAATCACCAGTGTGATGAAGTCCCAAGGTCTGACAGCATGAAACGTGTAAACGTTCAAAGTGTGACCCCAACATAGACTTCTCATTCATTGTTTTCTTCACAGGGTGAGCATGGCTACAAGCACCACAACACCCTCGTCTGAGACTCTCAGGCTCACGTCTCTGTGCTCCGCATCGATACAAGAGGGAAATAAATGTTGTTCTACTGAACTCCGGACCCACAACGACCGCATGTTAAATGCACAACCAAATCGGCACTCTGGCATGCCGAGGCCTTTTACCCTGACCCTAGAGGAACTCCTTTGTCCTCACAGCACAAGTGACACAGCATTGCGGCCTCAGCCTTGCAGGAGGTAGTCACTGGCATGGCACAGAAGCGGTGGCCGTGCCCACAACACCGCGTGTTTAGCAGAGTCCACGTCCAACACCTTCCACCCATAACGAGGCAGGTGCCAGGCAGAGGCTGGAGGAGCATTCTCAGCCTTCCTGAAAGCAGGGCTGCCCTTGGAGAGGGCAAGCTGCTCTTGAGGTGATCTGAGACCTGGGATGGCTTCCAAGAGACCACCTTTACTACATGACTTGCCCAGACCTAGTTGCCTGCTCCCCTCTCCTCACATCTTAAACCCGGGATGTATTTCTCCAATTCAGATGATCTCTGCCTTCAGCAGCTCATTTTGGATCTGATTTAGTTCAGGTCAGGCTACTGCCAACTCTAAAGAATAAACTTCTCTACTGGAGGACCTCCCAAACAGAAAGGTACCACCACACCCCTCCCTCCTCAAACCCCACCACCAGCAGGAAGGTCCACGGCTGCTCACCTGAACATCGGCAGGCAGGGGCTGCCGGTCTGCATCGCAGATTAAGAAGGGTTGCTCTAAGGCCAGGACAACGCTGAGGGGCAGGGAGGAGATGTTTTTTAAAGAGAGAGGCTTGTACTGAAGAGTGAGGACATCACTGGGTTGCTACAGAAAGAGGAGACAAGGAAAAAAAAGCAGTTTGAAGTGGCCACGGACCTCCTTCCCTTGGATGCATTTCCCATTTTTCAACCCCCAAAGCGCATACATCTCTATTTACTATTTTTATTAGTTTCTCCCCTTCCAGAAGGTTTTTCTTTAAGTATATCAGATGCGTTTCATGTTTAGAAGCCACAGCATCCTCCAGCGGCCAGGGAAACAGTCTCGCCTACAGAGGAGGGAATCGGAGCCCGAGAGGAGCCAGGTGCTTCAACAGGATCAAAACCAGAAAGTTCGTCTCCGGTTTTGTAGCAGAATGGCCCAAGACGTTTCTCACTCGCATACAGTAATTTCTTATAACCGTATCAGCTCTAATAGCCTCGTGAAAGCAGTGAGGATAGTCAGAGGAGGATTTGGCCCGTAGCGGAGAGCCCGCAGGAGCCCAAGGTTAGCTTTGAGCATTTCCACGCACACACAGCCAGCTACAAACCTCGAGGGCTCGTTTGCAACGTGTCTCCTTCTGCCCCTGCTACAGCGAGAAGGCATCTGCAGCCTCGAAGCTAAGCTCAGCCTAAGCTATTTCTTCCTGTTTATGCATCGTTCGGGGCTTCCTGCGTTGTTTATATAAACTAGAGGGTGTTTGGGAAGCTAGTTCTGGGTGTATTGATATCAACCAGCTGCAGTGTCGTAGCACTCGATAAATCGGAGCGTGTGGCATCAAGCGGACCACAGGCAGACATCAGGGAGAGCCGGAAAGCTTCTAATTAAAATCTGAACTGCCTGCTCACAGGATTTTGTGCTTCTCGGGAAGCCTGGGAAGCGGAGGAGAGACCTGAAAACACCAAAACTAAATAATGAAATATCTTCTCTTTCTGAGACACCTTGTGGGAGAAGGAAAGATGATGCAGGAGTCGGGATCCAGAGGCTAAAGGGCACCTGCTTTGCGCTGCTGTTATCACCACTGCAGCTGAAGGACGTCTGTGAGTCCTTTGAAGAAGGTGACACCTTGGGAAATGCACAGAGCTAGCATCCATACCGACAGCACAGAAGGCGAAGAGAGACAAGAGATGGCGTTTTTTTCTTCCTCAGCCTGAGGAATTGACAGCAATCTCAGTTTTTCTCAGGTTCCCTACAGGATCGGTGTTCAGAATTCACCGTGCCTTGGAGGATCCTCAAAATCCTCCCTTTATATTGAGGACAGAAACTGGTGTCTCTCTAGAAGTGCCCGTGATCCCCCCTCAATTTTACTTTGGTGAAGTTAAAAAAACCCAAAACCCCAAACAGTCCCATCTCTAAAAACACCCTCCCTTCCTTTACAGAGCACCCGAGGAAGGGTGAGGAGGGGGTTTAGCATCGCCCAGCTCCCGTGATCTGCCCTCCCGCCTGCAGCCCCAGCACACCAGGTGGCTGTGCAAACCCCGCGCTGATCTCCTGGGTCCCACACGGCTCCCCCCGTGCCCCCCGGCTCAGCTCCTCAATCCTGTTCTCCACATCACAAGGGGCACAATAGAACCGGTGAGACTATCCCCAACCCCAGAGGAGGAAAATAACGATCTTGGTGTTAACACCAAAGCTTGGTCCTGCTCAAATCAACAGCCAAAGCCCCAAGGACTTGGAGGAGCTGTTTAATTTCCTCCTCTGAACACAAGCACGCACACCCCACGGGCTTTCGGTCACCAGCCACGCTATTAAACACCAGGAGGGAATCCCGAGACTTACCTTCTCCACCCGGAAAGCGATTTCTCTGGCAGACATTTGCAGAACGGGAGCAACGAACTCACACGTGACGTCCACTTGCATTATCTGTGCCTTCCCCGCCTTGCTGCCCACGATGGCGTGGCACAGCAGCCGCTCCTTCACCACCTGCGGGCAAGAGTCACACGTCACCCAGAATCACAGGATGGTCAGGGTTGGAAGGGCCCTCTGGAGATCATCTAGGCCAACACCTCTGACAGAGCAGGGTCACCTACAACAGGTTGCACAGGACGGCGTCCAGGAGGGTTTGGAATGGCTCCAGGGTGGGAGACTCCACAACCTCTCTGGGCAGCCTGTGCCAGTGCTACCCGGCGGCTGCTAGCCCAGCATCAGCCAGAAAAAAAACCACACTGCATTCGCTAGCCACCCAACCGCCGACATAAAGGGTTTTGATAGCCTGGACAAAAACCGTGCCACGGGATCTTGGCCTTCAATGGGTATTACTGCCATACAGTTACAGTCACCGGTCTGCTTTTATCATAGAATGACAGAATGGTTTGGGTTGGAACGGACCTTGATGATCATCCAGTTCCAACCCCCCTGCCATGAGAGGAACACCTCCCACCAGCCCAGGTTGCTCCAAGCCCCGTCCAACCTGGCCTTGAACACCTCCAGGGATGGGGCAGCCACAGCTTCTCGGGGCAACCTGCCCCAGGGGATCACCACCCTCAGAGTGAAAAATTTCTTCTTAATATCTCATCTAAATCTACCTTTGTCTAGTTTGAAGCCATTCCCCCTCATCCTATCCCTACATGCCCTTGGAAAAAGTCCCTCCCCAGCTCTCCTGGAGCCCCTTTAGGCACTAGAAGAGGCTTTAAGGTCTCCCTGGAGCCTTCTCTTCTCCATGCTGAAGCCCCCCAACTCTCCCAGCCTGTCCTCCTAGCAGAGGGGCTCCAGCATCCTACTTATTCTGCACTCAAGCGTCGGTAACGCTACACCCAAACATCCACAAAAGGCACTTGAGCACCATGTGCTGCCTACAACTGCAGTAATCCCTGCCCCAAATGGTTATTGCTTTGGTGTGCCCCATTGCTAAGCATAATGCTTACAAAAAGCTGTAGGAACTGATTTAAAAAAAAACAAAACAAAACAAAAAAACCCCAAACCAAACCCTGTTAAGGGAAACAGGTGACAGAAAGGCCAATGCCAGCAAACCCTCCCTTGGAAGCTTAGTGGAAAGAATCCATGGGAAAAACCCAAACAGCCAGCCTGCCTTCAGGTAAAGAGGGGATCATTCATTCCTAGGATGTTCTGTGCTCTCCTAGAGCCGGTTTTAAAAGAAATCTCCCCAGGAAATACGTATCTTGCACTTCACATGAAAACCCTCTGCTAAAGCTGGCTGCTCTTACATTCAAGACATTTTTTCTGCTTCCTCGTGGTTTCACTTCCCCAAATTCCTCCCTTCGTTTCTCACCCTTCCCCTGGTACAACACCACAACCCGACTCCTCCTTGGAGCCTACAGCCTTCAAAATCACCCGTGTTGCACCTGCAATGCAGGCAGTTGCCCTCTTGCCCAACCTGAAGAGTACTCAAGTTCTCAAGACCTAAGGAAAGTGGAAAGCCCACTCCCCCAATGTCTTGGCTTTGGCTCCAGGAGCCAGGTAGCCACAGCTGAGCTCATAGATGCCCGTTCAGTTTTCCTGGCAAGACATCCTCTCCAGTGCCCTGAGCATTTTATTTCCTTTCTGGTACCTTTTCCCCCCGCTTTGTGCTCCGAACTGCACAGGGACAGTCCCATCGCAGTCAACCGAGTGGGCAGAGAGAAACCTGGTGAAATTCAACAAGGGCAAGTGTAGGGTGCTGCATCTGGGGAGGAATAACTCCATGCACCAGTACAGGTCGGGGGCTGACCTCCTGGAGAGCAGCTCTGTGGAGAGGGACCTGGGAGTCCTGGTGGACAACAGGATGACCATGAGCCAGCAATGTGCCCTGGTGGCCAAGAAGGCCAAGGGCATCCTGGGGTGCATCAAGAAGAGTGTGGCCAGCAGGTGGAGGGAGGTCATCCTCCCCCTCTGCTCTGCCCTGGGGAGGCCACATCTGGAGTACTGCATCCAGTTCTGGGCTCCCCAGTTCAAGAAGGACAGGGAACTGCTGGAGAGGGTCCAGCAAAGGGCAACGAAGATGATTAGGGGATTGGAACATCTCTCATATGGAGAAAGGCTGAGGGACTTGGGTCTCTTTAGTCTAGAGAAAAGAAGATTGAGGGGGGATCTTATTAATACTTACAAATACTTAATGGGAGGATGCCAGGGGGATGGGAGTAGTCTTTTTTCAGTGGCGCCCAGTGATAGGACGAGGGGTAATGGGCATAAACTTGAACATAGGAAGTTCCATCTTAACATGAGAAGGAACTTCTTTACTTTGAGGGTAGTGGAGCACTGGCACAGGCTGCCCAGAGAGGTGGTGGAGTCTCCCACTCTGGAGACATTCAAAACCTGCCTGGACGCTGTCCTGTGTAACGTGCTGTAGGTGACCCTACTCTGGCAGGGGGTTGGACTAGATGATCTCCAGAGGTCCCTTCCAACTCTAACCATTCTGTGATTCTGGTAGTCAAGTCTTCTTCAAGCTACCACCAAGGCAACCCTTTAAAACATCTTTCAAAACACTAAGCAGGAGCTTAATGCAGATTTATTCCACGTTCACTTAAACATCTGTGCCCAGTGGTCCTGGACCCAGGGAAGGCACACCAGGGTTAGCCAGCAGCTTTTCTGCAGGGTTGGATTTCCCCTGGAAAGAAGGGGTCGGGGAGGAGAACCGCCAGTGATCCCGCTGAAATGTCCCCCTCTGAGCTGCCACCCAAGGGTGCTACAAGACCCGGCTGCCCTTGGGACACTGGGGCCGGCTGAGAGACCAGGAGCGAGCCGTTATGGAAATATTGACAAAAGTCAAGCCGTCAATTATAATGATCCCTGGGAAGTTTCCCACATAGAGAACGTCACTCTGATCATTAGAGCTGACACATCGTGTTCGTTTTTCTCCTCCAGGACTCAGCGCTAGACAAGCCCTCTGCCCATGTTTGTCTACAGAGGAAAAATGATGCTGCTCCCAGACACTCCCTCCCTTCACAGGTGGTTTTTTTTCCACTCACCGCTTCCCCCAGATATATTACTTTGCTTTTTTTTATTTTATTTACTTTCTGCCTGTGGTTCTAGTCTCAGTGTAACTTATTTTCTCTGCCCTTCCTTTCTGCCTTGGCACGCAACACCTCGTAACCTGCAGTAGCAATGCTGCCCTTGGCCCATATTTTGGTATCAGCAGGTTGGGGTTATGGTAGCTATAGAAACACACACACAAAAAAAAAAGCCTTAGCAACTGATGGTGGCCAGCAAGGAAAGCAACTGGTGCTGCCATGGTAACTTGCAGGCATTAAACCCAGTTTCTTGAAAGCACTCGCTCATCGTCTCAGGCGAATGTCAAGGGGGTGCAGAAGAAGTCCCAGCGGAGGTGCTCTGATGGGGGGGAAGGCTCAGCGCTCGTGGGGGACCTCACCTGGGGAGTGCTGGAGGAGCCTTCCAGCATCATCTCCATCGTCTTGCCTGGCATCAGCTCCATCCTCAGCGGTCGAAGCTTAAACACGGGGCAGGCGGGTTTGGGGCTCTGGGAGGAATCTCTGCCCTTGGTGTTGCTGATGGCAGGGAGACGATCACGCTGGCGAAACGGGGCAAAACCTTCCGTTGTCCAATAGAGCTGATGGGTGCGTCGCCCTTTGTTTGTTATCTTGAAGCGGTAGCAGCAGGGATCCAAGCTAGAAGAGAAGCGGAGATGGAAAATGTCACGGGAGCTGTCATTTCCCAGCGGTCACCCAGCTTCAGCGCCCCCATGGCCTCATCTGACTGCACGCTCAGCAATAAGGCCACCTCCGCGGAGGGTGACCTAGCTCAAAGCTTCAGCACGAGACAGACCTCGGTTGCCCCCAACTTTATCACCATCCAGCAGCTGGTCTGTTTGCGTACAGCAAGGAAAAGCTTTGTGAAGAACATCACCACGATCTCAGTAGCTTCAGAGAGAGCACCACCAGCCTTTGGTGCTTAATACTGGGGAGAGTTTTTCTGGGGTGCTTCCTGCAGGTCTCACTACTCTGTCCCGGCTACAAATGGATGGAGGAACAGGTTCCCTGCCATTTCACCTCCCCCTTGGGGGCTGCTGCCTCAGCCACCTTCCCTCTGAAGAAGCTATTTGGGACCTGCAGGGTGTACAGACTCATCTGGTGACCTGGGCACCCCTTGCCTGCCTGGTGGCGTACCTGCCCTGGCACCCCAGTTATCCCCCTGGAGCCTCCATCCCTTGAGGAGCATCCAACTCTCATCGCCCCCAACACATCACCCTTCGCTTCAACAGTGCGGCTGGTTTGTATTTTAGGAAGATAACTGTGAGGACACAGGACCAACAGAAGTTTCCCCGGTACGAACGCAGCAGCAAGACCAGGTCCAGCTGCTGAGGGAACGGAGCGACATCAAGAGATGAATAACCACAGCTAGATATAAACCAAAATGAATATTCAATGGTAATTGATTCCTTCATGTAAAGGAACACTAACTGCAGGCTAGTCTGGAGTAATTATTCTACCCTCTATAAATCTGAGCGTGGCCAGAGAATGAATTGTTCCTGGAACAGTGATTTTCTTTTTGAAAGGTACAGAATATGGGGCTGACAAAACGCACGTCTGCCACAAGCAGCTAAACGCAGAAGTGACAGCAGAAAACAAACCAGTCTTTGAAACGGACCGTTAAAAAATGATGCGTAGAAGTTTAGTATGGAATGGTTTATGTTACGGACAGCAAGAGACAAAACCCTGGAGCAGCTCTGGGTAGACGCTCTGGGAAAGCCCAACTCATCCGAGATGTTACTTGGGTCCCACCTCAGGTCAGTCATAGTCTAGGTTGGAAGGGACCTTTAAGATCATTGAGTCCAACCATCAACCTGACACTGCCAAACCCACCACTAAAACAGGTCAGCTGGTGGCAGCTCTGCAGCCGACAGCGACGGCAGTGACACCAACCAGAGCCTGCAGGCTAAGACAGGAAGGGGGACAGGGGACGATGATGTGACCCACACTGACATTGTCCCCTGCGTTGCGTAGCCAGTTTGTGGCTGCCCAGAGCACAGGAAAGGCTGGACCAGCCCCGACCTCCCTGACGCGGTGCTGCTTAGGTGGGTGGCTTGGGGGTGCATATTTAAATCCCCCCAAATCTACCTAAATGCTTAAGGTAGGATTAACCTGCTCTTTCTACCCCAAAATTTAGGTATCGGAGCACTGTAAGTCCTCTTTGCAGCCAGAGAAAGGAACAGGCACCTCGAGAAGACTCTCCTCCTTGTCCCAAGAGGTCTCCAACACAAGACAAACTGCACTTTGAAAGGGCTTATTTTCCTCCCATGCATAAGAACGTGCCCAGTTTCAGACACACGCCTTAGGATCAGCGAATCCTCCTCCTCCGAGCTAAGCGTTTAATTAACGCTCTCAATTTATCCCACTCAATCTCAGCGGACATCTCCTCCTCTCCCATCCAGAGCAGGTCCTGCAGCCACCCTCGCTTGCCCGCGAGTACGTCTAATAAAGAGCAGGGGAGCCGGGGGAAACGAGCCAACGGAGGGCTGATACAGGGCAGAGACCAATTCTGCCGCTCCTCCAGAACTCCCGGGCAGAGGGGGAATAAACCAGCACCGGTAATTTAGTCGAGGAGTTGCTAACGAGCTCCCGCCAAGGTTTTCCGCCGTTGCGAGACAATACTCCGCAGCGAGTAAAAAAAGCGAGCAAAGTTACTGCGAAGGGAAATATGTTTATACTTGTAATGGAGCGTTTTCCAGCCAGAGGCTTCCGGGACCCGCTGTTTTCCTCCAAATCTTTATTTGATAAAGGAAGGAAATAAATTTATTATAACTAAGGGCAATTGGGTGACAATTTAGCAACGGGTGTCCGTTTTGGTGGCTTTTGAGGGGATCTAATGACTTTCAAATGGCCATAAAATGTTTCTAAAGGAATTCCTGTGGTTTCGGTGAAACGGAACCAGGACCTTGAGCACTGAAGGAGAACTAACCTGAAGGACCACAGCAAAACTCCTCCTTGCCGAGCCCACGGGAGAAGGGGGAGCTGGGAGATATCCTACCTGAAGTGGGGCCCCAAGATGAGCTCCGGAGCAAAGGGTTTGTCGGTGACAATGGTGGTGCCGATGCCAACAGCCCGGACGGGGATGACGTAAGTACGGCTGTTCTCTATGAACACGTTCACCTTGTCCTGGAATTTCTCAGTGTCATCCAAGTTTGCTACGATGGTCACAGACAGCTCGGCCTCGGGGGGGATGACTCCTTTACTGGGTTCGATCCTCCAGCGTGAGCATTTGCCAGCCTGTAAGACAAGCCAAACGCTGACTTAGGATGGAAACCATGGACCTGGGTCTCCTGTGGGGTTCGGGAAAAGGAAGGAGTGAAGATATGAGGGTAAAAAACAAAAAGGCTTAATTTCCCTAAATGTTGTGCCTGGAAACAGCAACTATGCAAGAGCTTATACAACCTGTATATTACCCTCCTTTAACAGACTCGCTTTGTTTTGGCCAACCCAAGTGATGC